AGGATGTGGAAAATCCATGGCAGTGCTCTCAGGGCTGCTGTTCCCTGTGGAGCTGCAGGCAGCACGTGTCCCTCCTGCTTTGCACAGGTGTGAGGTTTGCACCATAGCTTCGGTTCCACATTTAGCTCTGACTTTTTTGTTCTGGAATTATTGGAATGATAACAAAAGGACTGCGTATTTAATCTGCCAATTGGCATTTCTTTCACCCAGTAAATATTTAATTCCTTTTTTCTTTCTTTCTTTCTTTCTTTTTTTTTATTTTGGTAAGACCGCCTCACTCGAGCTGCGCTTCCATTAACCTCTTGACCTTGGATAAAGAGGCTCAAACTCCAAGCAACACCTGCATTTTTGCATTTCCCCACTTCCCTACACAAACTCACCCCCAGGCAGCTACATACCAAAATAGCTGCACCATCTTCCCCCCTCTGTCCCCTAACAGAGGTGCATTCCTGGGCAATGTGCGATGCGCTGCACCACAGCAATGCAACACTCATAGAAGCATAGAACCAAAGAATGGCCTGGGTTGAAAAGGACCACAATGCTCATCCAGTTCCAACCCCCTGCTGTGTGCAGGTCACCAAGCAGCAGCCCAGGCTGCCCAGAGCCACATCCAGCCTGGCCTTGAATGCCTGCAGGGATGGGGCATCCACAGCCTCCTTGGGCAACCTGTTCCAGTGCCTCACCACCCTCTGGCTGAAAAACTTCCTCCTAATGTCCAACCCAAACCTCCCCTGTCTCATAAACAGCCATTCCCCTTCCTGTTTATATGCTCCATTCAAGTATATGCAAGGCCACAACAAGGTCTCCCTGAAGCCTTCTCTTTTCTAAGCTAAACAAGCCCAGTTCCCTCAACCTTTCCTCATAGGAGAGGTGCTCCAGCCCCCTGCTCATCTTAGTGGCCCTCCTCTGGACCATGCTGTGTGTTGGCTCAGTAGCAGACCTTCCCAGCTCAGTGTGATCTGATGGGAGATGCACAATTTATAATGAAAGATTAGCTCAATCAAGGGGAAGACAGCAGAGCTTTCATGGGAACTTACCACCCAGGAATGAAAAATAAACGTGGCAATAAACCAACCCAAACAATCCCTGCATTAAACTGGTTCAATCCGAGAGTCCCATCCTTTACAGCAGGCACATATTGATTCATGACTCAAGAACAAACAGAGCAAGAACAATCCAAAGTAATTATCACCTACCGCTAATGAATATATGTCTGTAAATGAGACCTACACAAGCACAGCACTCTTCCCATTTGCCCTCTTCAACAAATTCTCCCTTATACTTTCCCATTTCTTGTGATGTTTCTCTTATACATCCCCATTGCTTGCAATTTAGTGCCTGAACTTAAGAGGGAATGAAGGGCTGGTTATTAGGGCTGCATGCACACAACCTGTCACCTATCCTGCTGCAGTGGAACTGAACGCAGCTGGATGTGCTTCTCAGATCTGTTGGCTAATAAGGTGCACTTCCTTATTTTCAGATAAATACCAGATGTCACAATTATTAAAGCAAAGCCAAGAGTAAATACTACACACAACCCTGAGCAAATAAAGCAGTGCAATCATCTCCGTGCAGTTTCACAGACCTGTTTTTCAGGGTTCTGCTCTTATTCACTGTGTTATTGTCCAGAGATTAGCATGGCAGTGTCTGGGTCACATTTCACCATGAGGTGTTGACTTCGGGCATCTTGAGCTCAGTTCTACAGAACCTTTTCTGCTGCAGCCACGCTGGGGCAGCATTACCTGCCCCCAATGCTGAACAGATTGGGTGAAGCCCATTGGGAATGCAATGTGACCTCTGTGTATGGGAAAGGGACCGGAAAACCTGACCCCAATTTACCACCTATTGTTGTCTGCCACTCTCACCAGTTTTGTTCAGAAGGGAAAAATGGACTTCAGGCCTTTATTTGCTTATCTCCACTTGAGGCATTCCTTTTAATCATTAACCTTAAAAGAAGTCAATTGTTACAGAGCTAATTTGCAGTTAATAGGAGAACATTGGCTGTTCGGGCCATCTTAGTTCTGGTTTGGTTCAGCTGTTCAATTGCAGAATGACAAATGGACAAAGCATTACGGAACACAGTTAATGGGGAGTTTTGGGGTGGGTTTCTTCACCCATCCATGCCCTGTATGATAACGTATATTGATAGGACAAGGGGAAATGGCTTCCAACTGGAACAAGGGGGATTTATTTAGAGTGGATGTAAGGAAGAAGGTTTGGCACTGAGGGCGGTGAGGCACTGGCACAGGTTGCCCAGAAAGGTGATGGAGACAGCCAAGGTCAGGCTGGATGGGACTGTGAGCACTGCTGGAGCTGTGGGTGTCCCTGTGCACTGCAGGGAGGCACCAGGCGGCCTTTGAGGCTCCCTTCCAACCCAAACCATCCTACGATTCTACACGTATGAAAATCTCACAGGTAACAAATATTCCCGTTCTAAAATTTTCTCACATCACCACTTGAGAATCACCACGTCACTGCATTCAGAGCCAGCTCAGTGCGTCCAGCTCCTGAGGTTTTGCACGACACAGAGATGAGATGCTGAGATCACTGAGATGCTGTTTGATGTGAAAGCTGATGCATCGAGGAACTTGGTGGAAGAACATTCAATTGCCACAAAGAAAGAAACACGAAGGCCCTAATACAAATAGCACTCTTAATGTCAGTGCTTAATGTCAAGCCCGCACTTAATTTCCCAACTTAAGTGCTTTGCTGAATTCCTGCCAGAAAAGGCAGAGATACAAGAGAAAACAGGACAAGGAGCAGCCACGTATCCCAGTGTGACATCCTCCTTTGCATCACCAACAAGCCTGACATGGAAAACAAGTCTTAAGCAGAAAGCAACCAAGCAAACGGCCTATTATTAAGCGTTTTAGAAGCACGATAGGACCAGAAGAAAGCATTCGCAAACAGAAGGATGAATGAATGAAAACCATCTGAAAAGTTTGTACGTGGGAGCTCAGCTCCATGTGCAGCAACTCAGTTCTCAACGCACGCAAGAAAGCACTTCAAGGAGCAACATATGGCTGTGGCTGTCAGGGGCAGGGCTGAGACAACAGGAGAGGCAGAGTTATGAAATAAGTGGAGAAAATGAGCCTGGTGCCTGGCTGCCAGCCACATCGTTGTATTTTAACAGCTAAGCAAGTAAATGATCCTTTGAAAAGAAGGCTGTAAATAGAGAAGGTGGCTCGAGTGCCCAGCATCAAAAAGGTGTGTTTGCAGCTCTGGCTCGTGGACACAGAACGTTAACCCTGACTGTGCTCCATAAATGCAATGAGTTTAAGCCAAGGGTTTGGCACGGGCCAAGTAAAACAGTGCTACTCTTGTGGCATTCATAGAATCATAGGATCATCTGAGTTGGAAGGGATCCTTAAAGCTCACCTCTTCCAGCTGCCCTGCAACCAACAGGCACAGCGTGAAACAAACTGTGGAACGCAGGTGAGCCCTCGGACATCCGGATGCTTTCAACAGGAGATTTGGAAACCCTGTTCTTTACTCCCCCGTGTGCCTTGAGAGAAGCACTGCTGCTCCTCACCCACCTCTTTGGGTTGGTTCTGGGAGCTGATTTATTTTACTCTCGTTTGCCAGGGTGGGTTTCCTTCGGTCTGATTCACAGCACCACCTCGTGGCACGAGTTGGGATGTCACAAACAGGATTTCCTATTTCTCACCGTTATTCCTCCTCCATCGCTGAGGTCTGAAGCTGGGAGCGTGCACATTTCTGGGGGTCTGAGCCGAAGGGGTACAGAACAATGCCAAGAATAAGTGTCTAACAGCTCAGATCTCAGCAGAGGGAAAATTTGGAAGAGTGCTCTGCTCTGACTCCAGTTCTAAGCTGTAAAATCCACAGTGAATCTGACCAGCCTGTGGGACTCAGAGCTACAAACCTGAACCCCAAACTCCTAGGAAAGAAATGGCTGAACCCAGCCTGAGCTGCAGATCGTCCTGAACAGAACATGGCAAGTTTTCCCTATGCAGACACACGACCTGTTGGCATCCCTGCCCAACGCATTCGTTTGTGCCTGCAAACATGGATCAGTTTTGGAGAGCCCCTTATCTGCCCATCACAGCCACCAGTGAGCTGGGATCATTGCTCTCCAGAGCCCGTTTTAATTATCAGCTACACTTAATGAGCTTCAGAGTGCAGATCCGTGCTCTGTGGCTCCTGAAATTTCACCTTGGCAAAGAAAGCAGGAATGAACAAACAGAAGAAAGATCTGCCTCTGCACCCAGCCCCTGTGGCACCCACCTGAGAGGCAGAACTGACACAGGAGATGGAGGCGGGCATGGAGATGTTGGCGGGCATCCAGGTGAAAGAATTTGGAGGTGCTGTAGCTGCTATGTGCTCATCCTGGTCCACATACGTGATGCTGGTGGGCACCAGCACAGGGAACATCAGGAGGAGCCCAGGGTCATCTGCTCCCTGGCAGTGGGCATCTGGCTTACCGGGTAAAACAGAGGCACAGAGGTGCCAGGAGCTGCTCTCTGGTCCTTGCTCTTGTCTTCCTGCAGCACGCACACTGCCCATCACTGGAGGAGACTGCATCCCCACCACGGTGCATCAGAGCCAGGGGCTCATCACCACACCAGGCTTCCACTTGGTGGGCCAGAGCCAAGCAGCAGGCAGGCAAGGGCAGCCTCTGGCAGCAGGTGGAGTGAAACATGGGGACATCCCCAAACCAATCCCTGTCACCCCAGCACGCAGCATGGCCGGAACACGCAGCCAGGCCATACCTTACCTGGAGCATCACCCCTGTGTGCTACCCACCCTATGGGGCAGCTGTGCACAGAAGCCTGGCCCCAAGCATCCCTTCATCACTGTGGGTGCTGTCACCGAGCAGGACCTGCCCTCAGAAGCACTTGTGGTCTTGAGGTCGGTCCTCTGCACCCCGGCTGCAGCACAGCACCCAGAGCACTCAGGAAGAGGACAGACATCCTCATACCCCTATTTCTCCACTTCCACACGCAGTGTGGTTGGAAGCAATGCTACAACCACCTATAACATCACGGCCAGAGCCCTGCAGGGAGGTTTATTTGTGATGGAACAGAGCCACGACAGAGCTGAGGTGCAGGAAGCTTTCCTCATGGCAGCCCTGCAGCGAGGAGCAGCTGCGTGCTGCCGCCTCCTCTGAGCCTTCGGAGTCCTTCCAGGCACAGCTCTGCCTCGAGCTTCAATCAGGACGGGGATCCGGCGGCCTCAGTCACTGCCGACCACGTCGGGGTTGCGCAGCCGGCCCAGCATCTCGCTCAGCATCTGGTTGCAGAGGGCCGAGTAGGGGTTGAGCAGCACCAACTGCTGCCGTGCGAAGGCGCTGCCAAGCCGTGCCGCCTGCTGGAAGTCCTGCCGGGCATCGTCCTCACGGCCCTGCAGCCGATGGATCAGCCCACGCTGCACCAGGCTTTGGCACACGGCTCGGCCGCAGCCCCGGCCCAGGCGGATGGCGGCATCCAGGTCCCGCAGAGCGCCTGGATGGGGCGAGAGGCGGCGGGGGGATGCGGGGTGGCGTGGGGCCACGCTGGTCACCCAGTGCCACGTTCCTTACCTGCCACGTCGCCCTTGAGGCGCAGTGCCTGCGCCCGGTTGTTGTAGGCCGAGGCGCGCTCGGGCAGCAGGCGGATGGCCTCGCTGAACCGCTCCAGGGCCGCGCTCACATCTCCGGATTCGGCAGCAGAAACGCCCTGCAGCTCCAGGTCCCTCACCTGCTCCAGCAGCTCCGGCGCGAAGGTCTCCTCCTCTGTGCAGAAACGTCCCAACAGCCGGTGATGCAGAGGAGCCCTGAGCGCTCCGTGCAGGCAGAGCCCCTTCCACCCCACCGGTGGGAAGGATCCAGCGGGAATCCGAAGCCACATCTGCCTCACCTTCCTGCTGAACGCCCTCATCCTCATCCAGCCCGGGGATGTCACCAAACGGAGTGCTGGGGTTGAAGATGGTCTGCAGCACGGCTCTGTCGTTGGCGGTGGCCATGGCGCAGTGAGGGCAGGAGGGCACCCAGCAGGCTGTTAACGTTCACCCATCCCCTCCTATCCCAGCCCAGCTGCAGCTCCTCCACCCACCAACACGGCCGAGTCCCACATCTCCCCCAGCACAGCACTGCTGGCTCTGTGAGAAGGGATCCCTGCAGCCATCAGCCCCTATGGGAGGGGAAACTCCACCGACACCCAGCGCCTCAGAACAAACCACCAGCAGCCCTCTGCAGCAATAAACTTGACATGTTTATTAATTAAACTATCACTTAAATAAAAAAAAGTGCATAGAAAATAAACATGTTTAAAAACTCCTTTTTTTTTTTTTTTGTTGGTTTTTTTTTTTCGTTGGTTTTTTTTTTTCTTTTTTTTTTTTTTTTTTTTTTTTTTTTACAACTATGTACACTTTTTATTTTTTTATTTTTTTATTTTTTTACATTCAGTCTTTTGCAGAGCTTTCAGCAATTTATTTTTTTTTTTTATTATTTTTTTTTTAATTAACTATTAAAGTATTTCCTTCTTCCCTGTGCCAGGGAGTTAACACTGATGTACTTTAGACACGTTTTGTTTTGTTTTTTTAACCAAAAGAAAACCAGAAGCTCGGAAGAACACAAAAAAATAAAATAAAGGTTTGTTATACATGATAAGTTGTCAAGAAATGTAATCCTAGAACATAACTTGGCGGATTTTTTTTTCTTTTTTTTCTTTTTTCTTTTTTTTCTTCTTTTTTTTTTTTCTTTCTTTTTTTTTTTTTTTTTTAAATTGAAACAATTATTCACCTACCTGTATTTACTAAAGAGACTGTTAAGTTCAATAAAAGAAACACCACAAGTATAGATCTTGGTTGATAGACAAAGCTACTGTACCTTGTTCAAAAGATACCAGGAAAGCACAGAGCACATTGTTTTTCCCTATATGCAGGTGGTACCCCAACATTCATTACCAAAAAAAGAAAGGAAAAAAAGGAAAAAACCAAGTTGTACAAGTACTGACTGGTAACAATAAAGGGCAGGAAAGCCCCTGGGCTGCCTGTTCCCATCGCCCAGGATGAGGATCCAGGCACCCACCTGGAAACGCACAGCCTGGGCTGTTCCTGCCTCTGTTAGCAACTGTAACACAATCCTTATCTATAGTGTTAAGAGAATTAAAAGCCATGGACCGATACTGAACTAGGCTTCATTACACGGTGCATTACTATATTAGTTCCTATATATATCGTATTTATAGTTATTAAAAAAAACTTGCAGGTGTTGAGTGTGGACCAGTAGCATGGGTTTGAATGGCATGATTCTGCACAAAGACCATCTCGCTGAAGAACCTGGTATTGCTTGGAAATGAAAGAAGGAACAATTAACAGAAAGATACCCAGCCCTTTGCAATGACCCGCTTTTCCTTTACGAGAAAAAAAGAAAAAAAAAGAAAAGAAGAAAAAAAGAAAAAAAAAACCCAAAAGTCGGTTTGTACAAATAAAAATAAACGCCCTAAGGTTCCATTTTGTAGTATTTTTCAGATATCATGATCTGTGTCAGTCCTTATAAAATATACATTCATATACTGGGAAGCTGTGCTGTGCTCACCGGCAGGGCAGGGCGCGCCGCAGCACCTCGTGGTGCCTGATGGAAAACACACAGCAGCTGCCAAGGCTTCTCCCTGCCTTCCTTCCAAGCACCCACGCTGGGCTATGGGAGCGGGTCGGGGCCCTGCCCAGCAGCACAGCTCACCTTCTCTGGGTACAGACAGTTTCACTGGCCACGGCGGTGCCGCCACGGCGGCCGCCACAGGTATAGCAGCAAAGCGAACATCGAGCTGGGTCTAAAGGACCCATTCTGCTCGGCCGGTCCTCACAGGAGGAGATTTCCTGGTGCTCAGCTCCTGGGGGGGGGTCCCACGGCTCTCCTCCCCACCCCTCTCTTCCAGCGTTTCCTATAGGAGCGGTGCTGGGGCTCCCAACTGCACAGCGCGGCCATGAGGGACCGGGCTGAGCTGTGCAACTTGCACACTGTTCTTGGGTTTAACCAAGCACTGCTGTCCAAAACAGAGAATAAGGACAAAGAGCAGCCGTGTCTGTGGATGCAGGGCCAAGATCCCCCTCCCCCCCCCAAGACGTGCTGTTTGGCCTTCTCAAGGTATGTGCGTTCCCAAACTGTCAGTGCATCAAATCATTTCAGTAACAAATGCAGCTTCGATTGGATTCTTCTTTAAACAGTTATTACCAAATAATAATCACACAGTGCAATAAAGAAAGGAAACCAGCAGTTCCTGACCCTGTGAGAGCTGTATTTCATTCCCAGGTCAGAGGAAGAGGTCGTGGGGCCTGAAGAGCACAGATAACGGAGTGTGAGATCACGACCACTGGGGTATCGCTCAGTTCGGTCCATTCCCTACCAGCTGCTGCTGCTGTTTCAGAGCAGCCTTTCCATTTGCCAGCTCGCCTACCCACAGGTCCAGCTTAGAAAAGCAAGGGTGCTTCGAGGATTTATTACTCCAAGGAAAAACGACTCTGTGTTTGGTTTGGGGATGAGGAGTGCACGTAGGGGGGTGAGCCCCGTGCTGCCCTGGGTGGCAGGTCTGGGGCCCTATTGCTTCGCTAGATTTCCACAGGACTGCGTTTCTGTGTCTGCAAAGATGTGGGTTTACCCAGAGCAGAAAGGCAGGGCCTTCCCTTGGGGAAGCTGCTCTGGACAAAAAGGGATGCTGAGATCCCACAGGTGCCACAAGGCTGGGCCAGCAGAGCCCCTCACTGCCCCCAGGGTTGTGACAGCCGAATCCCCACACTTCAGGGTGAGAAGAGTCACACTTCCCACTGAAATGCTCATTCTGAACACCAGGCAAAAGGGGTGAAGCTATTTACGGTCAGTTCTCTTTTTTTTTTTCCCTCTCTTTTCCTTAAATACACACAGGATACTGGTGTGTGGCAAGGCAGAATCATGCCTCCCGCCTGGGGGCACAAGCAGTTCAGACAGAGTTCCCAACAACTCCTCCAAAGCCGGGCAATTCTCCCTCCTGCCCCCATCTTGACAAGAAAATCAAAGTTTAAGGTCCAGCCAAACCTCACAGAAACAGTTACCGAAGTCAAAAAGGCAGAACAAGATTAAAAAATAAAAATAAAGTGTACCCCTCTCTCTGGAGAAAGGATCAGACTGTGTCCAGCCAGATATTTCCTATAACCGTCCTATGAAAATAAAAAAATTATTAAAAACAGATTCTTTTAAATTAGGATAATACCACTGTTTAAAAAGCCTCGTCATAAGTGCTTTTCCCTATGAAGTGCTTCTCATAGAAAAATATACAAAATATATTTACATTTATAAAACCTTAAATACTAAACTGTAAACAGAACAGAGTAAAATCCAATGTCTCAATTTGTTAGGCTTGGGGCTTTTTCTTTCGTTCTTTTTTCTATTTTTTTTTCTTTTTTTTTTCTATTTTTTTTCTATTTTTTTTTAATTTTTGGAGGCGTGGAGCAGACCCAAAAGGGAGGAGCATCGACTTGAACCAGGACAATAGTGTCTTTTGATTCACTTCAACTAAGTTTGACTCTTCAGCTACCGTGATTTTCAACCGTGCCAATCGCCCATTTGTTTCCTGTGCATTTTTAAGTGCTGCACGGAGTCCACGAGGCTGGTTAGTGTTTGGCCTTGCATCTTCAGTGAATTTACACTCCATTTTGGTGCCTCTTCCTGTGCCTTTCGTGGAAGATTACAAAATGACATGCTGACTGTAGGTCAGACAGGCACGTGCCTACAGAAGCCACTTGTTTGTCTCCCTAGGATGCTGTTCAGTGGGGCTCCACACAAATCCCCCCTCCCAGTTCCTGCTCTACAGCCAACAGCAGCAGCAGCTCCCACCACTGCTTCCTTCCCTGGGGAGCAGTCCCACGGTGGCAGGGGAGCCCTTCGGTCCCTAGGTCAAAGGAGAAAGGCAGCCTCCAAAGGCAGAAGCATGGGAAAAGACTGCTTCCCTCCTTTATAGCAAGGGGAGGGTGCTGCTGAAAGAAAGCCTTTGCTCACAAAGATTTACAGCTCTGTAACCAGTTGGCACAAGCCCTTTCTCTGCTAAGGAATGCCAGGAATTCCCTTTGCACTCCAGCTGGAATTTCAGAGTGAAACACTATCCAAATCCTTCTCAGTTTACTTATGGCTGCTGTATGACCCTCTCCCCCATTCAGTTTTCCTAGATTAAAGCAGATAAGCCGGACCCACACGGCACAGCAGCCACCTACAGCACACAGTACACCAACCAACTCACAGATAGTGTTTTGGAGATGCATAACACAAGGAACCACAGACACTCACAAAGTTCTCAGAGTAGCTGGTTGGTGGGTTACAGTTTCTCTCCCTAGGAGAAAAGCGCAGTCACGTACTGTGCTACGGAAACTTATGACACAGCAACCGAATGAAAACAACTCCACATTCACCTCTTTGAACCAAGAGAGGTCAAAGGGATGGATCTGTGATCAGTCCTCTGTACTTGGGTCCGGGTCTGCCTTCCCTCCCCACTCCCACTCATTAGCCCCGTTCTGAGAAACAAATTCTGGGGGGGGGGAGGGTTGGGGTAGGAAAGAGAATAGCAAAAACATAATCACATTGAGGATCTTCTCCAGTCGCCCGTGTCTTTCGTAAGGGTAAGTGTGCGCATGCAAGACATGAAGATGTGGACTCTAACAGAGAAACACAGCCGCCAGTTGGGTCCCTGAGCCCAGCCGATCTTCATTCCTGCCTCTGTCCTTCCCCCTCCCCTCGCGAATGGCAGGGTAGGGGTTCACTGTTAGCTTTGGTTCGCCCCACGCCCTTTAGGGCTCACTTGCAGCTCGTGGAAGTCCTTAGTTTAAAAACTTCCTGCACTTCTTGGCGCCGCAGTTACAGGGCAGTTTGTTGCTGGCGTCTTCAATGGGGAACTTGTAGTCGTACGTGAGTTCTTCCCCCCTGTAGATTTTGCGCATGGCGAAGATGACAATGTGCTTCTGGCCATCGATGTTGATGACCCGAGAGTAGCAGTTGGGCTCACAGGAGTGATTGATGAAGCGGGCTGCATTCCCATGCATGGTGGCATCCACCACTTCAGAGTCGTCAATGCGGAACATGTAGCAACCGATCCCCTACACACAGAGAACAGAAAGACAATTATACCAGGGAAGTCAAGAGATAGCTAGTTTGATGGACAGTTTTGCTTAATTACTGCAATGTGCTGCATTCTAAGAGTCAAGTCATTAAGAATACCTGCAACCCTGCCTGAATTATTTCAACCCCTTTGTTCTTTGGAGCTGTGAGACCACACTGATACGTTTCCCTGCCCATGGGAGGAAATGACTCTAGTGCTCCAGC